CTCTGAGAACAGCGGGCCCTCATCTAGGAGCTTCGCGGGTTCCGGACATCAAGTGTCGCAAGACTGAAAACGCGGGACTTTCTGAGTCCGACCCGCCACTGAAATCCCGGACACAGGGTCCAGACGCTCGGGGAGCCGGCAAGAGTCAGCCAACAAGCTCCTTGAATAAAGAGCGAAGTGACAAGTGAGTCGTTGGAGTACGGTGCTTCGTTCCGCAGGAGGATTGTGTGTGAAACGAAGGACGCTGTTGACTTTTGCCGCGATTACAATTTTCTCCGGTGTTGAAGCAAGCTGAACGGAAACTTCGGAGGGTCGGAAAGACTTTAGGTGTTCTCCCCGAATAGTCTACCAGGATACTCGCGTTGGGAAAGTACTTGGTTCATGAGAGGGGATTCTCTCGTTCCTGACGTTCCTTCGATGAGGAAGAGGACCATTGACCGCGCTGCTTACGCTCAATGGGGATCTCCGACCCCGGGGAATTTGAGGAGAGTGCTGAATCTTTCCGTCGAAAGTTGACGCCCTGATTCCTTGACTGGCGGAGTTCAACTCAAGAGGAGGGCAGCACAGCTCAAGGCTGTGTTCCTGCATAAATTTTGGGCTCTATTGAAACTCCGAGCAAGTTTCGAGGATAAGCTCTCTCGAGACGTCAACCTCTAAACGAGCTGGAGAGCGAGTGGAGCAGCCGACCACGTTTTGCTCGGAGCGGGGAGGAACTTGTTTTTCAAAAGCCAAGATTGCGGATTGGAAAAAGCTGGGTCACATCGGCGTCGGGTTGTAGATCTCAGGCAGACTCGAAACGGGCCGCGGATTCCTAACTTTCAAAGGGGTCCTGTTTGCCCCCTGGAACCATGAGAAAACTTTCCTTCTCAGAATACTGATTTGGTGGAGTTGCCTCCATCGTAGACCCTCTTCTGGGCTTGCGACGGTGAACAAACAGGGGCGAAAGATCTGGGGGAGCTTGTATTTTCTCCCCCTCTCTGACTGAGAGACCCCTTATTCAATGAAAATAAAAGTCTTAAGCCCAGCTCCGCCGGAGTGAGACATCGATAGCGGGGAGATGGGAATCGCTCGCTCCGATAAACGCAAATCCTTCCCTTGTAGAGCACACACACACGCGTGAGCGAACGCCCACGGGAACCTAAGGAATGGTCGATAACGATTTCGTCTACTCCAACGCTCTTCAGATATTTTATTGCCCGGATCCGGCCCTGGACGGGAAGACCCAAGATTCCAAGTCTCCGAGATATCTGCCACAGAGACAATGAGAGGTGGGAGCCCTTCCATCTCGATGATCACCCGCCGCCCCACTCAGTCGGGATATCCGAAGGCCGTATTGATGCAGAGTGGGAAACGATAATAAGTCGAAGAGTATCCACTCAAGGTCACCATTCCCGGGAAACTATGCGGGGCTCAAAGGGAAACAAAAACGAAGCTGTTGGGACGTCATTCCAACGAGCAAACGAGCGAGGCTCTCCCCATTGAAAATCCCTCTCAGATCGCTCAATTGCGGAATCGCGGAGCCATATCGAGGATATTTCGCAACTTCGAGTTCCCATCACGCTACCGCGACTCAAATCGGATGACTTCGAGCTTTTCCTCGAGTCTGGGGAGAGAATTCGATCGTGACGATCGTGCCGAGCGTCCTCCAGGAAGGCTCGGATGTTTCGAGCAATGTTCAATATTTGACTTTGTTTCTGTGTTCTGCATACATGGCTAAACAGGTGCGCTTGTCTTCAACCTAGATCGACCCCGGAGTTTCGGGGTCGCATCTCACATCGGTACCAGTAGGGATGAGCTGACTTCGCCGCGTAGAGGATGTTCCCTGGGGAGCTAGAAAAATCGGCGGAGCATCGGTGGCAACACGGAAAGACACCGTGCTGACACCTTGTCAGTTTGAGATTGGCCATGAAATGTAAGCCAAGCATGAGGTCACGTCCGGGAGTTTCTGAGGTCTTCATGGGGATTTTGAGGAGGACAAACGGCGGCACTGCCTGTTCCCCAGCCCTTTATCACGATTTCTCGCACCTGGTGAGACCAGGGACGGGGTGTTTCCGGCAACATGCACTCAAGAACTTCGAGCGGATTCGTCTGTGATGAAAGAGCTGTTTGGCCTGGATCTCGTTATCGTGCCGCAAATCGATTATTTCATCACGAGCTTGCGTAAGTTCTCCGAATGCAAAGATCGGGGACTGCTTCTCGACGAGGAGATTCGAACCCGCCCACCCGATGTTCCGGACATATTGATGTAGCAAAAGTTTCCTTATTTCAACTCGACCGGAAATAATTATCGAGATTTGCACGTTGTTGCGGTTATCTCTCCAGCGAGCGATATTTCTGATTCCGTCCGTGATCTCGCTGACAGCCGTCCGGCTCGGGTTCGAACATCTAATAACGAACGGGAACGCCTACCCCGCTCGCTCTACGTACATTCCCTCGCGGTCGCGGCGGTGGGTGTATGTGGGCTTATTGGTCAAGAATCACCTTGGTGGATTGGCCACGTCAGCGCGGGGAATGAGAGTTCCGCTGGGCTGCCGACGCGGGTAGAAATTCTCGGGTAACGAGCCGGGGGGCAGCCGGCCGCCTCGTTGGTCGTCCGCCCGAGCCTTAGCCAGCCGGGAGGGCCGAGCTGAGTTTGAAAACATTTTTATGACCCGCGGTTAACCCCCAAGGATCCGCGCATCGGTCGGCGTGAGCTCAGGTAGCGGGAGAAGAGGAGGGGGGCGAGAGCATCAGACCCAGGTGTCGTTTTTGCTCAGACCGAGAGGGCGTAAAACGTGAGAACGTTCCGCGACGTGTCGGTCGATCTATGTAGTTGTGTCTTGTCTCTACCTGACTCTGTATATGTGTACCCTCTGCCCTGGTGGTTTAGTTCCCTTTCGACTCTCTCGTCCTGAATTTTTATCTCGCTAAATTGTTTGCCTCCCTCGAGAGCTTATTTCGCTGACTGGCTGAGGTTTCTCTTTTGTTCTGCGATCGGTCAACCGAATGAACGCACGACCTTGAAGTCCTGTTAGAGGGATGAGGGAAGACTTCGGCGAGTTCCTGCCCGAATCAACGGAAGGCTTCTGGGTATTGGAGACATGACCTGATCTCGGGCTTACTCGGCAGTGGAGTATCGCTCGTCGGTCTACCCTGTCCGATGTCGCTCGAGCCCCGTAATGACTCGTTTGACAGGAGACGAAGGAACTCGTAAAGCTCTGGTTCTGCTGAGCCGAACAATGTCCTCGTTACCGTCGACGAGACAGTTGAGTCGAGGAGAGCCCTGAGCATCCGCTCTCGTAGAAACTCCGAGCCCGTAGAGTCAGTGCGAAGCGGTCGAACGTTTAGCACGTATCTTACGTGTGCCATTCAATCATGGAAGTCACGTCTACAGGTACAATGGCCCCGGGCCCGCAAGGACGGCACCGGCGGTATGTCTTGCGGCTTGTTGCATCATGATAAGCTCCCACGTCTTCCGTAACCGCCGAGCAACTCTTGAGCTCGATTGACTAATCCTGTCACGACTCTCCGCTCAGGTCTCCGAGTTCGGGAACTATTTTCCGGATAATGTTCCGCTTGTTCCTCGGGCGATCCGACCCATGTCAAGCCGCTCTCCCGGCTATTTGGATCGGAAAGACGTAGTTTTTCTGAACCGATCGTAGCGAGAGAGATCGTATCCTATTCACACCTGAGGTCGACTCCGGATCTAAATCAGTCAAGATATCCTCGAAGGTTCAGGCTTGCCAGAGCCGAAGTCTGAAGCTTACTTCGGCAGTTTATTCTCTTGCTATTGCTTGTAGTGGCGATGTGGGCGAGTGTTGTGGGGCTGAGGCAACTGCATCGTGCAGTATAAGCCAGCTTTCGCATTTGCCATTCGAAAGCAGGAAATAGCAGAGGAGTCAGACTCAGAGGAAAGCAACTCCATCCGACGAGCCGCCGCCACCGCCGCCGTCTGAAATAGAAGGACTGGCAGCAACGAGACCGAGTCGGGATGGAAGAAGACGAGCACAGCCAAAACGAACGCTTCGGTGAGAGCAGTTGTGGCGGAAACCAAGTTTTTCGTGTTGTTCGGAGCCCTTGTGAAAATCTCCCGCTGCACGGTCTATTGGGTTCTCCCCGCATTTTCTTCCCTCAAAAGTCTCTCGTCTTTCCGCTCCTCGGATGTAGCTCGAAGCCAATCTTCGCGCTTTTCTTCGAATTCTATGGGCTTCGCGCTGAGAGATAGTCGATGCTGGGGATGATAGAGATCTCGAGAAGCTTTTCTGTACCGGGGTCTGGCTCTGGCACGCTGCTCGAGTTCCCCATATATCTTTCGATACTCATTCGGATAGAGCGAGGAGCAAGGGCCAAATGTCGTGCGAAGAGGCTTCGGCTCCCCTCGTGTCGGGACGAAGTGTTGGAATCCTCCTCATCGAGATAGTAACCCGAAATTAATTCAGATCTCGTCCTGGACACACACTTCTTTCTTTCTTCTGTGACGATGATTTCATATGGAGTAATTTCTGGAGAGGAGGACGAGCGAAGAAAAGTCGTCCACTCAATTTGGAAGAAGAGGAACTTTCGGTAGGAGTATTCACCTCCGGCGAGAGTCACCTGGCAGCTTGACCGAGCTCGCAGGCTTCGACTCGTACGGATCGCCCACAGACGTACTCGAGCCAGGGAGTCATCGGCATTCCAGCAGACACTCAGCGGAGGCAGAGGCTAGGAGAGAGATTCCAACTACGGAAATCGATTCGGAAGAAACTCGACTCCGATTGAAATTGCGTGCCTGAATGCTGTTCCCTGGAGCGGAGCTATCCCAAGCTGAGTCGTCGGGAAAGCTGTGTTCATAGCTCTATAGACTATAGAAGACATTGGGTCTCGTATGAAAAGGATTGAATTTATTCATTTCAATAATCAGTAGTAACAGTCAAATTCACAATAGATAACGATATAAGGATATCCGCACTGTTGCCTATTCCTTCTGGGAACGTACCATTTCTTCTTTTTTTCTCTCTCTCGTTCCCTCCTGTGGGTTTCGGTTCAGGCGCTAAGCTCGTATCAAATGTCGTTATGGTGTATTTTTTTTCTGTGGACCTTTGCGGCGGGTCCAACTTTATCTTTTGTACAAACATGTTCCCCGCCTTAAGGTTATCATATCAAATCTTCTCGTGATCCGCTGCTGCTTTCATGCAGAAAGAATATGCCCGTCTCAAAATGAGCTTCATGTGTTCGAATATGAATTCTATGTCTGGGAGCAAACAGAAGAAGTGACCACTTCTTGCAAAGGCACTGGTCCTTTCGATAGTCGTCTGCAGACACAATCTCAGTCACCGTATTTTCCCCTTTTCGCCTCTTCTATTTGAGGTTGGGTCGCTTGCATCTTCCGGGGATCTTCCGAGGAACACTCCCAAAATGCGTCGTAGAGGACGCTCATCGGCTCCGTCGACTTCGGAATTCTCCGGGAGGCCGGAATCTCCGAAAAGTTTCATTGCCGCGACGAGGACCCCATCTTGACGATCTGGTGATCAGTAAGCCATCTGTGATTGCGATATTTAGAGAGGGTCGCTCTAGGAAGGAAAATGGGAATCGTTGTATATCACGGCGATTCACCCTCGGACGCAGACGAGTCAGACATCGGTGAGGTGTCTACGGCCGAATGAGGATTCTGGTGCGAAATGAGCCATTTTCGGCGGCAGCACATCATCGTAGGGTGACATGCCGATATTGTTGTGAAGAACGCAGGCTCCACCGGGAGGGTCGATCATTGGACCCAGAGCGCCTCCCATTCCGAGCCCCATCGCCATCGAGTATCGGCGTGAGGCCATCGAAAGCGAACGTTCCATGTTGGTCAAGTCCAGCTCATGCTCCATCTTCGAGGGTCGATCCTTCCTGCGAGAAAAAAAGAGACGCACTCGTTACTCCGAAGATCTTGGCGAAGTTGCCATTCGCGCAAACCCATGGGGCGTTCTGACTCGGAGGAAATAAAGATTATCGGGGATGTCGTGAACACGAGAACTGATCGAGGCAGGAAGATCAATGCCCCGATCAAAGCTCGAACTCGGGGGAACTCTCTCGTGCAATCTACAGGAACGCCTCGATAGACACCAGCGCTCCAGTTGCGTCATACAGACGGCTCTCCCACTTAGATATCTCGGAGAATAACTTGAGGTAGCCCGCCGTTCGATTCACGATTCCGTCTCGCTCTAGGTTGTACCCACAAGTACGGCCGCGTCCCGATTAACTACCGCTGCGCAAATGATTTATGGCGATACAAGGGCCGACCAATCTCGGGAGATTGGAGCGTCTGGCGATTGGGTGCGAGACGAGTCCTAGCGGGGGCAGAGACAGCCTCCGAGCGAACTGGCTGAAAAGCGAAACTATTCGTTTTATCCTCCCCGAGTAGCTCGGAGGGAGTTTGTTCGCGACTACCCTGATGGAAGCCCGCTACATTCGTCTAATGAGCTTCTTCGAAAGGGGTCGATCGAGGCCAGAACGCGGAAGTCCAATGGCCTGCTCCGACACGGTCTTTCCATTGCAGGGCGAGAGCTTTCCAAAAAGGCCTCGGAAGGGCAACTTAGAGAAGACAGTCCGCCTACGATGACGAAATCAGGTCTGAGAGAGCCGGTGACTTAGCGCGATGGACACGGCGGACCCTCCGGAGTGGAGAACTGCTTCCCCCAGATAGAAATACCCGGGAGAATTTCCCTCGAGAAGAAAGCAGAACAGCGTTCACCTTATTGAATCGGAGAGACAAGTGCTCCTCGCTCCGGCTTAAAAGAGAGTCTGTCGTCCCCTAGATCCCATTGGTTTTCTAAGAGAATGCCGGTATTCCGTTCCCAGATGCCCGGTGATCGGGTTCAGCAAGGGGGGGGTCATCACAAGTTCGTTACTCCTAGCGCAGAATCAGGAGTGACCGATTAATCCACCCCCGTATCGGTTCAACGGCTATAGGGGACGTGTGCCGGAATGAAGTCAGTCAGCCCCACCGCAACGTCGGTGCTGCCAACCGCGGATACGGATAAGTGAACGATCGGAAATGAAGTTGTCACATCAGCTCTAAGTGAACCGAAGAATCCACTGGCCCAGCTTCCGGCTTCGACCCTCGACGCCCAGAAGTTACGGCTCAACGAGGGTCCATGGCTTGTGATAAGGTCTACGGTCGGAGATGGGGCATCGGAGTCCGTGGAGATCGCCGAGGTCATCGAAAGCTGGCAGGGCTCAGCTGGCATTAGATTCCAGAGAAGTACTCTGACAGGGGGTGCTGAGAAAAGCAAGCAAGCAAGGAATCTATTGCCGTGCTCCTTGCGTTCCATTCGAGCTCGGGCCCAGAGTCAATCATTTCTCTTTGCCAGGACCCGGCTCCGAGGGAGGCATCCATCTATAAGTATGCTGCTCACTGTCGAATAAGAGGGGTAGGTCGATGAAGAAGGAGGTGAATTGACACTTTAATCAGCGATTGAGCTCTCTGTTTCACTTATCGAGACAGAGACGACGAAACACAAAAACGCTCGTTCGGTATTAGAAGATCGATCGCCCACTCCCCCCGATTTAGTGAAACTCAGCCAGACTGAATCTGCCCTCGAGAAATCGCATCCCCTTGGGGAGTCGCGGAGCAGCGCCGCGCCAGCTTCAGGAATGACGTGGTGGGGATTAGGAAGCGAGGCGATCGATACGCTGTTTCATTGGATCCGGAGCTACCGTCTCCTCACAGAGTGGTAACCACGCTCGACGGCTTCGGGGAAACTTCCTGATTTCAGCAATAATTATCCCCGATACCCACAGCCAGGGCGGGATCTCTTCGAGAGAATAGACGCTTGTCGAGGTCTTTGCTTCGACAGCAGCGCAGTTGATCATTCACGATGACAGAGCACTGAGAGAAAGTCTCAAGGACCAATTAGGAGGTCTAATGATGATAAACGTTGCTCTTACAATGCGGTAAGTGACCGCCCGCGCTCACTCATCGCCTGGTTCCAGCTCGGCACAGTTCTCGATTCTTTCGATAGGAGCTCTGCTTGCGAGAAGGAAATTCAGAGGAGACATCGGCGCTCTTGGCGAGCGATCTCCGGTAGGTGCTCCGAATCATTTACCTTCAAGTTGGATGCTGCCAAAATGATTGATTGGAGGCCAGAGCTGATATGCGAGCGTTCTCGAATTCGGCTTCGACTGGAAGCGTCTCGAGAAGCAAAAGCTTGCTGTGAGGGAAGCGGCGGATCGGACAGGAATCGGAATACATTGAAGAAGACAATGATTCCGAACTGAGAGCTTTCCATCAGGGACCCACGGCCTTGATCCCTCTCGGAATTTTCTCTGCGCATTCTGCGTGAATAAATCTCTTCATCACTGATGTGGAGCTCTCAAGGGGGAGTTAGAGGGAAGATGCAGGGCCCAACCGCCGCAACATTTTTCGTCCCCACCGTCTTGTTCTCAGACGTTCGTGTTACGGATGAGCTCAAATAAATTCGATGAGCATCGCACTCAACGATGAGGCCTGATGAGATCTTTCTAGCTCCTGCCGGAAACTTGTGCCCATACCTACATTCATAGGCAACCATCGAATATCGCTCCGCAAGCAACACGCCGGACGACAATCTCGATCGCAATAACGTGTAAGAGCCGAAGTGGAATCTATGTGAGTTGTCGACGAGCAGTTGGGGGTCTATCGGAAGGACAAGAGAGGCGACGACGACACCGACAACGACGATCAGGGAAAGCAGAATGGATTCGCGAAAGCAGACAACGAGATCGAGCGCTCTTCTCCCCTCGCCTTCGGTAGGAACAAACCCAATCCGTCCGGGAAATCCCTCAAGCGGAGACGGGAATCAATCCGGCACCGGCCGCTCCCGCCGCCGCCGCCGGCACGGTCGTCGTCGAGGAGAGTGGAGATTCAGGACGAGGCGGCGAAAAAGAAGCCGCTCGTCTGCTTCTCGAGGGAAAAAAGCGTCGATTCAAAATCCCTCTCGTCTTCCATGCGTGGCTCGACGTAGCGACTCCGAATCTGATTTCAGCGCGATCTCAATCTTCCCCCAGGAGTGTCAGCATCACTCGTCGGCCATCGAGTCTTCTCATCCGCCACCGGGTGACACAGAGCTTCCCGAAGGGCAGACGCCGAGAGACAGAGCATCGTCTGCGGCGCTCATCTAGCCATCTGGAGCTCGTATGCATGCACTCACGCATGCTCACACCCATCTAGGCAGCCGAACAGACAGGCAGTTCTCGCCCACGAATTCACCATGAGTGACGGTCATTCAACTCGCCGGCCGAGCATGCAAGCAACCATCAAAGTCGACGCAACGCGACGACCGGCCACCGAACATTGGAGTGGCAACAGCTTGTATTTGATGGTTATGCGTTTGGCTGAGTTAGAGGACCGCGTTCTACTAGTTGACGACCTAGTAATTGGCTTGTGTAACACCTCATTGAGTTCATGACATCAAGCCAAAATGGCCTGCGAAGCAGAATTATTGTTGGAAGATACCCCCTTCGAAAATGGGCTAGCTCATCGATTGCGAATGAGGCAGCCCGGACATGCAAACATAATAATATTATTGTTGTTGGGTGCGAAACAAGGCGTGAACGAAGTTCGTAGACAGACAGGGGCTGAACCCGATATGGGAGGAGGAACTTGACGAGGAGGTGGAGGAGGAAGAATTTCGATCTTCGGGCTCAGAGATAACACCGCCCGAACCCCGGTGAAAATCGACGGGCATTGGGTATTCTCTCGAAGCTTCGACTCTGGGAAGTTCGCGAATTTCGAAGAACTCACGAAGTCCAGCGGTCAACGCCCTCTCGGAACTTACTTGACGCAGGTGAGTGAGATCAGTATGATTAGCGCGAGCGCTCCACCCGCTGCACCGCATCCCGCCAGCAAGGGAAGTCTGCATTTGTCTTCGTCGGAGGAGTCTTCTCCGCTACAGTTCGGTACACCGTCGCACTGCAACGATCGGTCGATGCAGTAATTCTTGGTCAGGGACGTGTTACAAGTTCCGCTCTCGGTATTCAGGCAGTACTGGCTCTGTGGATTGAGAGGACAATCTCATTAGGAGGCGAGAAAAAAAAATACTCCACGAGAACTCGTGTAATACGAGCTACCCGGGTCACGTCCATAGGCTGAATTATGCTCGGTCCGATATGTCGCGAAGCTTCCATAAACGACCCCACGGAAGGTGGACGGAGATGGAGAGTGGCCGGGACGACTGGGGACAACTCACTTTTCCGCATGTGAACTGCTCACACTGGTTGGCGAACGTGACCGCCGTCCAAACGAGTTTGAAGCCTATGATTTCACCCTCGTGTTTCTGAGGGGACGCGACCGTCGTCCTCAAGCGGACGACGATCCGATTCCGTCGGGAGAGTTGAGTCTTCTCCTCTGTGTTCTTGTAATACTTCAGGTCACCGCAATATCGTTTCAGCAGCACTGGGTTGACATCAATGCTCGAATAACCGTCGTAAATGACGAGTTCTGCCTCTCCGCAGTTCGCGATGCTGCCTGTAAATAAACCGAAATAGGACTCGTATCGCGAGATCTGGTTATTTCCGACCGAATGCTCCCCGCATCCTGCGCCATTCGTTGCTCTCGTCGCTCCTGTCGTTGTGATAGTTGCGGTTGAGGAGGAAAAGCCGCTATACATATTATAAAAACGAGCGGTCGGTAGGAAGGACGACGCACCTCCGCTTCCCCTATGCGAAAGCGTCGTGTTTGAATTTTCCCCCTGAACGCGAGCAAAATAACAGCTGCTCACGGGACCCTCTGTTATTCTGCTTGCTGCTGTTGCAGCATCGTTATTCGAGCTCTTCGTAGAACGACGTATTATCGGTTGACTACTCGAAAAGACGACGACTCGCTCGCTCCAGAGATTCGCTCATGATGAGGCCGACCGGAACCCGGAGCCCGAGATTCGACGCCTCCTCTCCAGGTCCGGCTCGGTAGTGAGAAGCTCCGGTCGCGAGCAGCTCAAGATAACGGTGTTCTGAGTCACGACCGATTCTCCATGACACGTTCGCTTGCCTAAAGCCCCCCGTCTCACCTTTGAGCTGTAGCTCGAGAACTCGTATATAGATGTGTTTCTCGTAATCGACTCGGATCAGCCAAGCGCAGTCGACGTCTTTTGGGAACGAATCGGGATAATTTGGGGAGACGAGTATCCCACCGACGCCGGTCAAAGTCCCCCCGCAGTTTGTCACGTTCGACGACGGTGGAGGTGGCACGAAACTCTCGTCGGTGAATTCGTAGTGGCCGAAGAACCCTGTCGGAGTGAAACAACCTGTACATTGAGGTCTCCGTCCGTTTACGCGCGGCTTGCAATCGCGGGGTTTCGCCCGCGGCTGGCGCAATCCCTCGCTCCTGCCGTGGAAACGAGCTGCGAACACAGCGGAACATGCGGAGGTCGTGGAAGGAACATCGCGGTAGGCGTCGCCTCCGGGCCGTCCCACTTGGGGTGGAGGCACACCATCAAAAAAAAACTTGCGAAACAAAACTCTCCAAACAATCTACAATCGAGTCGGAGATTCACACATGCTCCCCCTCTTCCTAGAACAATTCCACGCGGAATGGTCCTCAATCTCTGTCTAACTCAGGGAGGGGCAGAGTGCAGCAAAAATACGCTTCCCTCCCCGGGCTCCACAGACAATTATAAAAACGGTGCAATGAGCTCCGGTTCCGTCGCTCTCGATATTCCGTGGAGACCCTAACGTACTCACCTTTTGCGGATAGAGCGTGATTGGCCTTGAAGATTATCTCCATGCGTGGCTTCATGGTATGCAGAGGTATGGGCACATACGTACCGCAAAACCGCCCTACCAGCTGCTTCACGTTTGACACGCTGATTGTGGAGATGTCGACGAAGTCGTTCAGACAGCCCTTCTGGAAGGGTTCTTCTAACTCGAATTCGTAAAAAGTGATTCGAAGTGTCTCCGACTCTTGACCTGTGGATCGATGCATCGTGTTAGGACGCCTCATGACCCGACTGGCCTCGCTCCTCGAACGCTTCCGTTTCGTCAATCGACCAAAAAATTATTTTCCCCGGTCGCTGACTTTTTCTGCTCTCGACCGCGAGAGCATCCTCCGAGAGGCAGTCTTCCAAATCCTGCGAGCGTTTCCGGACCTCCCTCGCAATGCGACACAGAAGACCTTTTTTGAGGGTCGTGGATCGTGGATCGGATCATAATACTCGATGTTCTCCAATGCAAAACGGAAATCCTGAGAGCGAGTAATGTTCCGCCCCGCGAGATGTACTCCTATATTTATCATGCGACGCTTCCGCCTCATGTTTCCCCTTGGGGCGATGGTTCTTCAGTCACCACCACATGGGCTCGTCGTTGTCGTTCGAGGCCTGGATAAACATTGACCTGGGCACAATTAGCCGTGGGACTGCTGTTGCCGACGTCCGGCAGATGCGGACAGGGATCACTCGACGAAAGAACATCGGAGTGTTTTCGTGTGATATAACGACAGGTTTCCTCCGCCGCAGTCGCTGGCCGTCTCCGGGAAAATGTCGCCTTGGTGACGCAGATGAATCGACTCGATTTCTCAGCGAATATCAAGTGAAACCCGCTCTGTCGAGCCTGTGAGCACGGCAGGCGATTACATCGAGCGAGCTTCCCGAAGGAGAACGATTCTCTCAAAATATCTCGGTGAGCACACTCCGAGCTTCGGATCGGTTCTGCTCGGGAGCCAGACCGAGCAGAATTCCTGAATTCGGCCCGATTAGCACTGGATCCGAGCTCATTAAAAAGCTATTATCGGGAACGGAAGATGCTGTGTATTTACGTGCAATACTTGTATGCGGCGGCTGCATTTCGGCGACTGCATGTGACGGCTGGTGGAACTCCTGTCAAACGTCGCGCGCCCCGAGACACGTAATTTGTCGTTTGTTCGCTCGCTCGCTTCTCCGTTGGTTTGAACAAAGAAACGAGTCGTCTCTAACAAATTGCACGGCTGGTGTCGATTTCAACCTTGGGAGGCTTGCGCTGAAGTGCTGCTCTGTCTCGCTCAGAGAGTTTTGAAACCTGCAGGCGTTCCCTCTTGTCAGTTCCACGTTGAATTCACCAAGTTGCGCCGCTGTGTCTGGGCACGTTCCCGTTCGCCCGCGTGCCCGCCGAACCGTCTTCTAGTGGAGCTGCGCGAACCCGTGTCGGAGACTGACCCGCGTAAGTGTGAATTTGCTACTCGAACGGTCAGCGACACCACCGGTTTCGGACGCCGGCCGCCAGGTGACCTTCGGACACGATTATCCCGAATGACGTACCTTTGAATGTGTAATAGCACTCTATATTCTCCGGGTAGTTGTCTGGATATCCCGGGGAACTAAAGTTGCCCTGCTTGCTGGCCGTTGAGTCGAACTCCATGAAGCAAGTCGAAGGTCCAGCTGAGAATAACGAACACCAAACCATTAGCGATATCAATTCACATGATAACTAGGCGATCACAAGAATGGAGTGGATCCAAGATCGAATATGCAGCCTGGAAGCCGAGGGTCTCCGAGGTATTTCATGTGGAAAACTCAGATTTGTGGGGAGACTCCCAAGCGGGCGGCGGGTTCCAACTTCCTGGGGGAAGAGCCCCCCCTTTGCTGTGTCCGCGATGGATCTCCCAATCGGAGAAAACCCTCTCTGATTTTCTGCTCGTTACAGAGATTTGAGATGCGGTATCACACATATGATGGATCATGGACTCTACTCTTCGGCGGAACAGTCAGAAACGGGGAGCCCCATTGTGGTCAGCCGTTTAGCGAAAGACAGCGATTGCGGACCAGACCCTCCACGCGATGTTATAGTCCTTGGGAAGTCGAGGCCGGGGGTTCGTTTAGCGATTTAGATAAAATATTCTCGTCGGCACGGTTAGATGGAGACTCATCATTCTGCGTAACCGGGAGCAGCTTGATGGCTCGTGTTTGACGAACGTTCAAAGCGTCCATGCGGTCGGGCAGAGGAATAAGCGGAGTTTCAGCGATGACTGGGTGGCTCCGCTCCTATTCGAAAGACACGCATCGATGCGGGACATGATAGGAGCCGATGATACACCCAGGCGATATATGCATGATGTATGTTTGTGCTTTAGTATTGATATGAACCGCCTCTCCGGATGCCCTGGGAGCCTCATCTTCGCGAGATCTTACGGCTGGATGCTCCCTCTGCCGAGCCAACGAGCCGGAGCATTGTTATGGGCTCTGGTTTCATACTCATCTATGTTTGTATACGTATACAGGATTGGAGCCGCATTCGAGCAGATCGAACGAAGGCGCTTTTCCGCTGGACAGAATATTCACGTTCCTTGTCTCATTCGTCTCGGATTGGACGAGAAGGAATGTTCATGGAATCATGAGCACTCCTGGGGGAATAGACTTTCCCTTCTCGTGGGATACGGGCTTGGATTTCGCTTACCATGCACCCCGGCGTGCGTGCTGCTGTGCGGGCTGAAAACTACTAGGAGGATGAGAGGCATAAGAAGATGCCGAGCCACGAAGTGCCTTGCGTTTGGAAGACTCGGGAACTCCGTCGATGAAAGGAGGTCTCCGCGATCCTGGGAGGGGAGAGCCATGATGACGAAGGATGAGCGGGACCACTCAACTGGAAAGGAGATACGCCCTGTTTTGTTAGCATCTGCTTGCTTGCTCAGTCAGTCGTCGTCGGTCAGTCTGCCTACTCGGCAAAGGGGAGAAAAAGGACTGCTTCGGCGCGCATGTGACTCTATACGCCTGCAGCGGGGAAAAGTTGCTCGGCCGAGTGAGCGATGGTCGTGTCCCACCGTCGTCCTTACTCGGAGTGAGAGTACCTACATTTTTTTGCTAACAACAAGGAGCTGCATCCACCAGGAGAGGCCGTCCTGCTCGAGGACGCAGGATGCATCAGTCCTCTCCGCTGGGCCGACGCTGGGATGACGAAACATCGCTCGCCGAAATAGACAAACACGGAAGGCGTCGCAAACCGCGCGGAACTCGCACCGGGTCGGATGTTCCGCCAAACGACTAGCGGGAGGCCGTAAACTCGATACCGCGCGGACACCTGCTAAATACTAAACGTTCGACCCTGGTGCTGAGGGTCGTCACCTTCCCCATCCCCACAGATCCCCTCGCGCAGCCTTTTTCTTTCAGGATTACGCTCAATTCATCTGGCGACGAGATACCTCTGATATCCTCGGACGTCAGACCCGCGGAGGCTCATCTCTGTCAGAAAATGAGACGTTCGCTCCTTTTACACTCAGTTTTGAACCCCCGCGTTCGCGGGAGCCGAGAGGCTTTCAGTAGGTCACAAAGGAATACTCAAAGATGCTGCTCACTTCGAGTTGCGATCTCGAAAATAAATCCAGGGCTTAGCGGGATCAAGCAGCCAAGATTTCAACGTCCCTGGCATAATAGGGATTTTTACGCTTCCCGACTCGATCTGCTCCCTGCGCGGCCGAGTTTCACGCGTTTCCCGTCGTGTGCGCTCCATGGCGGCCTTCCATCCGTGTATTTCCGGTCCTCACATTGTAAGGCTTCCCCCACATTAGTTCTCCCGGAAGCTGCCGGAGCAAAATTAGAGTGCTATTCTCTCACATTCAGGGAGGGCACAAAGCGCGTCGGGCTTCGGAAACCATGGTCTCATCTTCTGCAAAAATAGCTCTCTCATCCCGTTATGTGTAACAAGCCCGAGGCGGAGGGGGAAGCGGCTTCAGGCATTTTTGTGTGTTTTCTGCCGTAATCATAACGACACGATGGCGGCTGATGGCATCACAAGACAAAAATGCGCCAGCCTGGAAATTCTCCTGAAACCTTTCTTCTGCCTTCCACGAAGCTGTGGCTGCCGCGCCGCCGTCTCAGTCAGAGGGGACCCGCGCGGGATTTTGGGACGGAAAAATACGACGTGGTTCCCCCTCCCTTCCCCTGCTGTTTTCGACCTCGGTGCGTTCTCAGTCTCCGACCGCGTCCATACCCTTCTTTGTGCACTGACATGAGTTCTGTACATCGTCTGGCTCGATATTTCGCGGGGAGTGGGGGAATGCGTCAACAAGATGTCGTGTATGGTATGAACTCCTCGCAACGAAGTTCGTTGAGACGAATTTCGCCATAAGGCGCATTTTTTTCGTATTATGTTTCTTGGTCCTTTCCTCGTAGACCTGATGCGCTTCGCAAAAACATTTTTCCTAACGAACCGTCTCTGCTGGCACCAGCGCGGCATCATCGCGGCGAAAATTTACTGTTCTATACCTATTACTGTCGCGTCCTCTGAACTGGCGCGAACCGGGGGTGTCCCGTTCGAGAAGCCTATATATCATTTCAAGAAGACCTCAGCGGTCGGCCACCATTGTCGGGTGCCTATATTGTGACCACAGGCCTCGCCGACACAGCCAACTCCTTTTCTAACGAGCTCTCCAAGGAAGCGAGTCAACGTGGCACGTTGCACGTCCTCTCTTGTTTTACTTGGACGCGGGACAGGCGGTTTTTGCAGCACGGAACTTTCCGAATCTCTCGGGAGCGTTGAGCATACAGAGGAACGAGCGCACCGAGGCAATAAACAAAGAAAGGAGGAGACGCTAACATCACATCGTTGATTTCGTCGAACTTTTTATCTGGGACCATCATCATTCGGGAGACTTGATGCCGGGAAACGATAATTCATCTCCACGCCTGCGTGGATCGCTTTCCGCGCACGGAGTTGTATGGAAAGAAGTTCCGGGATCGGAATCGATGCATTCGCTCGCAGAGCTTCCCCCTTGAAGCCATCTGACAACAATTTGCGGCCGTATATACGCTGCTTGCATTCATCGACAGAATGAACAGTCTGTCATCAGACCGCAAGAGAGAAACCCTATCTTCTGCTCATTCCCCGCGCTGTGTGCGTTCTCCCCTCCGCCGGCCATTCTATTCCGGCACTATCTTCTCATTGCCGCTTCCTCTCGATTGCGGTACGAGTCGCTCAGCGTTCGGCCAGCACGTCGGAAACGTACGCTTCGACTTCCTTGCGGGTCCCGAGCACGCTGAGGAGCATGATGGAAAGCTTCAGGAGCCGGATCGCGTAGCCTCTGTTGAAAACTGCGATTTCTGACGTCGTCCAAACGCCGCGCTCGCTCGAGCAACCGATACTTCCTCAGCGGATGGTCGCTAGAGGCGAGGCTTATTTATAGAGCCCGCCGGAGCAGGGGCGCCGGGGAGCCGCGGACCAGTTTCGAGCAGACCTCGAGCGCGTCGAAGGCAAAAGCGAAGTCTGCTCCGTTCAGAGTAGCACTAATGAAAACCGGCAGAGTTCATTTAGGGTGAACGAACGAGCACATTCCATCTTCCGATGGCCAGTTTCCTTCGGCCGATATCAGCCGCGGTCGTTCAAGGGGGAAGCGGAAGGAAAATCTTTCTCTTCCGATTCGCTCACGGGAGAGCGTAGACTTCGCCACGGCTTCCACCGTACGTCGACTGGGAAGGGGGGCAGAAGCCGACCGTCCATTTGGCCGTCTGCCCGAAAATCTCGTTTGTCTTCCGATAGGTCTCACCGCGCGAGCATTCATCCATCCATTTGCGGTATGGAACTATGTTTGTGAAGGAATCGACGGGAGAATGGGGCTATGGGCTCGCACGGGGGAGGAGGAGCAGTTGTTGTTCCCCGACGGCCTCCTTCTGTCGTATTCCCGCTCGGGATGCATTGCATGGGGGCCCAACTGTCCTGCAGCGAAGTTTCTGAAGATTTCGCAACGATGACCGTATGCATTCCTTCATTTCTCCGTGCACTTGCTGAATCTTTCCTGGAACTTCCCGAACGACGCTTCCCGCTCGCGAGGAATGGATGCACGACTCCGACCGTCTTTGCGTGGTGTGGAGGGGGGAAGGGGCGTTTTGCCCGCGATGTCGGGAGGGGGTTGCTCAGTGTCGAGAAGGTGATCTGCGACCTCAATGCTGCGGTCTAGGAGCGAAAAACGAAGTTTCTCTCGTCGATGTCACCTTCGTCTTTCATCTCGGAGGGGGGAAATTTCCTTTCGCTGTCCTTGTTCCCAGATGGCTTGTATCATTAGGGTCTGCAGAGGGTCTCTTGAGCCACTTTGCTCTGAACAGGTGCACAAAAGACGCTCGGCCCGCCTTCTTGCCGGTCCCTTCTTCCGTTTGCTTGCTCGTCCGTCGGGGACCTAATGCAATTTCGGTGGAAACTAGACAAGTTCCTGATGGAGTGGGTGTCGGCCGCATGTCGCGGCCGTGCAGCACCGGCTCGAATCTCCCGGAAAAAGGAACATTTGCTACCGTTTTCTCAAACGTTTAGCGTCAGCAAGATCCGAGGTCCTTGATTCGCTTCCTCATGACTCATGACTCTTGGTATTTTCCAGTTTCCCAACACTCTCCGAGTTTTTCCGGGTTATTTTCCCCGGAAAGTGGCCACGATTTTTGACCGGTCCCCGTACGACGATAAAGAAAGTGTGACAAGCGGGACGAGTTCCCTCCCGAGCGATTATGATTTTCACCCGGCTGGATTGTACTTCCGCCAAGAAGCGAGCTCGCTCCGCCTACGCTCCTGAGGTGGAACTACTCGCGGGCAGCCGTGTAGGATTGCGCGGAGATTGACTCCTGAAATATCTGTTCCGAATTCTCCTCCTCGGCATTCGATTACTCGCTTGCAGTCGCCATAAAACAAAGTGCTCGACTGGTAACATATCTCCGACGAAGACGCCCCCTCTCGCGTAACTCTTCTCCCGCGGCTACGAACACGAGTCTATAGAGCTGTCTTGCTCCGACAGTTACATGCCCATGAATACATAATGTCGACGAGGATGGCGCGGCCACACGAGGTCGCTCAATAGATCTGAGGCACCGGAGATATCTCCGGCCGATTGACAAAACTCGCGACAGTCGACTCGGGCGATGCCGTGGACGAGATTCCAAACAGAGTTCGCTCAAGGCCGACGCTGTCCGACCACCATATCGAGAGATTGTCGTCGAACGAATTTTCCCGCTTCTATCTGAACAGCTACATATGTAGTCGACTTCCCGGACGATGAGCCCGCTGTGGACAACGTCGTTGGCGAGGGAGTCAGCGACTTCCTGCGGGGCTTCCGGTTCCTAATTAAGACGCGCATCATGTACGCTCTACAGGAACATCCTCTGAGGCAGGATCTGGATGCCAAGTAGGACGAAGTCTCGGACGATCCCCCGCTGGATGCTGTGGGAGCGGAGCGAATTCGTGTTGGAACGATATGTTCGAGTCGAAAAGGAAAAGCCGAACGAATTCCTACGATCAGACTTGCCGGCGGCCGATCGGCGCCCTGTTAGCGAAAATTAATATGCCCGCAACGCATGGGCAGGCTTGTGTTTTCTGTTTCACTCACTCGTTCGCTCAGTCGGTGGTTTTCCTTGAGTAACAGCGAAAACTTGTTTTGCTCGATTGGAGCGGCGGCGCCGTCGGAGTCAATACAAGCAGGAAAGCTGCGGGAGTCGCGAAATTAGATTCGGCATTTTATTTTAATTTTGCGCTCGTCGATTGATGACGAGCTCCGGCCGCGTGTCGGGCTGCAGCTAGCTGCGTTCCTGTTGATTCGTCCAGGTAAATTGCCCAACAAATTTCAGTAGGTAACCAATAATTCCGGACTCGAAGCGGGGAACGCCGGTGGGTGCGCTCTGCCGCGAGTCTTTCCCACCGGATCGGAGCTTGTTCCAAAATTTCGATTCGAGCTCGTCGAGATCCGAGCGGAATGTCGATAACGGAGTCGAAGATTTCTTCGCTCGTTGGGCTGGCCACGGTTCAGCAGAGACCTTTTGTTTCTCGATCTAAGATTTCCAGGGCTTGTTCGCTTCCAAAATGAAGCAAAGGGAGAATCCGCTCGCAGAGAGCTTGTTTTACCTGCGACCTTCCACTGAATCTGCGACGGAGTTCATATGTACCAACTTATCCCCAGAAGGAGAAGCGGAGACTCATTGCGAGACCGGTCGGCAGTTCTGTGCCGCTGCTCCGGGAAGCGGAGTCATCGGATCTCACCTGCCGGCCTCGCGACCGACATGGGCTCTCTCATTGACCCTTGACAAATGGGGTCATAAAGAATTCTCTGTGGAACTTCTGAGGCAGCGATAATTCTCGCCGTCGGGATTTCTCCGAAGCAGTCGAGCACGGAGACTGGTTCGGCGTCCACTCTTAGGTCGAGGCTTCGAACGACCGGGTACATTCTTGATTCCTCAGATCCCGTCTTGTATACACCACGAATTCGCTCGTTCGACAGTCCACTCCAGAGTACGGGAATCGAAGGAAAGTCCATGATGCGCAAACGGCAAAGCAAGAAGTCTTTTCCCCTACAACAAGGTCCTCCCTTCATTCAATTCCTAATCGTCGCACTCTAAGTTAGCAGCTCGTGGAACGAATAGAAAGACAAAGCACGAGGGAATGGAGGCAAAAACTCTGACTTTGCCTCGAGTTCCCGCGGTCTGCCATTAGCCATTGATTTCCGACCGCTTTCTTCGGAAGTTGCCCGCAGGGAGCTGCAGAAGGTCGTTTTGAGACGAGCATTTCACCGCCTCCGCTCTCGACCATCTCTCTCCCTGCGAAGCTCCGAATATCGCCGAATCGAGCCGAAATTCATTTTCGAAGCAATCGAAATGTAAATTCGAAGCTGCTCCATCCCCTGGGGTTTACCGCATGAGAGCCGATGCCGTTAAGGCCTCGGACATCATTGGGCTCTGCTCGAAGCTCCACATCTATTGACTTCCGCGGGCTGGACAGAATCTTCTCGTGAAGGAGGAATCCGCAGACCGTTCGAAGAACCGGGATCTCCACCCCCATCTCCCGCACGATCCGTTCTCTGAACCGTGTATGGGATCGCAGTGCAATCCCTTCGAAATATAATCGTGGAGAGGTTTTTCCCCTCGAGACCGGTGCGGCTGAAAGGGATCTTCATGGAGAGGTGCATTTACTTCTTTTCCCCGAGCGCCCCGTATCGAGTGGCGCTACGAAGCACTCCGGACTGTCATCCTTCCGAGGCGGCCTCGACGAGGGATAAACTTCGGAATCCCTCCACTCCGAGGCCGGGCAAACATTCCCCGGGAGTTCCAAAACTCGAATTTTCTTTTCCCGAAATAACGGTAGCAGATGTCGCGACGAGAGTCACCGCGGAGTACAGGAGCTTACCTGTGCAGGCGCGTCATCGGTACAGACGAATCGTTCGAGCAATGAGCTCACCACAGAAATGACTCCTAACTTCGACTCGGACCGATTGAGACCAAAGAAAACAACTAGACGATCCGATTAGTCACAATTACCACCCTAAAATCACGAATCACGAGCAACCGGTGAGACGGCCTAGCCACACTCACGGCTGAACGTCATCCCGGTGCCATAAACGAGTTGGTGGACGTTTGGCGCGCTCTGAAAGTCCCTCCAACCGGAGGAAGAAGCCCAGGAGTATTTTCAGCTGGCGGAGAGAGGCAGGTTGGGGAAGGATCCTCAGGATCGGCGTCGAACCAGAAGGAGGAGGGTCCACACGGCTTGCACACCGAGTTTCCCTCACCTCCGAGCGCCGACCGGAGGAAACACGAGGCAGGCCAGCCCAACGCACAGACACACACGCACGCATTCATACCCAGAGAACATCTGTGATACGGAGGTTCGCCAGCTTCAACAAGAAGAATTCCGATAAGGGCAAGGATGTCGTTCAAGAATCGATTGGCTAAGATCGAGTTATCCATCACTCGTGACTCGATATCGATCGGAATCGAACGGAGCTCCGATCGATACCGTCTTCGACTGGTCGACGAAGCTTCCGAATGAAGTTTAACGCCATCTTGGCCCGACTCACGGTAGACTCCGTCTTCGCAATACATAGGGAAGCGGAATCGGGACGCCACGGGCAGGAAAAAAAAGAGTGTCTACCTCACAATTGAAGATTCAGCCGAGGAGCCGAACGAGTGAATACCCAACTAAGAACATTGTCCCAAGGCGCGACGATTCGATAGTAGAAAATGGAACTCACGAGAATCATTATCGACGTCAGATACGTCAGACACGGTCGTTGGGTTCGCTCTCCAAACTTCAGCGGAGAACTTCCTAGACGCTCTGTATCGCAAAACTCCTCTTCTTCTCGTCGGAGATACAACGTACCAATAGAGGGAAGAAAGGAATTAGTGAGGCGGACGCATCGAGCGAATTGATCGTCGAGGCTCGGAGCCGCTTGGCAGAGGAATCGAGGGGAGGGAACTGACGGAGGACGTCGGGGCCGCGTTCCAGAGAAAACGTTTGTTGCGAGCGAGTGGATCGAGGAGCGATTGTTGCGACTTCGCTCCCATCGATTATCTTAGCCGACTTGAAGGATGGGTCTCCCTCCTCGAGAAGAGAACTGGTCTGTTGATTGCCCGTTCCAGAACGCTCTCCATCATTCCACTCCGTTTCGGAACAACCCACCATTCGGAAGTGGATTTCGAGTTGAATCTTCGGCGTGGGCGTGACCGTGCTCCGGAGGTTCAGACAGTGATGCTCAAGAGTTTCCGGGTTGTAAGGGAACGTTCTCCGAAATTGGTCCAAAGTGGACGCAGGAAAGAGCTCCGGTACGCTCCGTCCGGGGACATAGAATCAGATATTACCCTTGAATGCACTCTCTCGAGCCCTGCTATGATACATATAGTAGAAAGCCGACTCTAGGGGTTCCCTGGCAGAACCGCACGTGGTTATTTGCAGCAGCATTCAGGAATCAATTCTCGAATGACAGAAACCGACAGCTGCATAACATCCATCGATTTCTTCGGACTTTGGCTACGATTCGAATTTCCGTCTTGGAATCCTCATCGGTGACAACCGTATTTCGGGACAGGCTCAGTCTGCGAACTTTTGAGCTCATCGATCCTCTCGATCACTCTGGGAAGCGCAATCAGCTTCTCAATGTGGAAGTATTTGTAACGGGAGGCCGGCGATACTCCCCTGGAAGAGCGAATTCGGGGATCAGAGGAACCCCGAACACTCATCGTTCCGATGGATCGTGACGCTCCGAGTCAAAACTTTCGCGAGTGCGATTATTCTGCAAGTTTTTGCGGCCCAACCAGGGAAGGTTCCGCGAATCTGGAAAAGGATTGCCGTCGATTCGGGAAGAAATTACTGCGAATTCGGAAAGGATTGCCGAGAATTCGGGAAGGAATTGCCGCCTTGGGGAAGAGGAAGCGCCGCATGATGATCTATCCGATGATCGCGGAAGCATTCGATCTAAGCGAGATGAAGGAAGTGGCAGAAGCCATACCTGGGGACTAGCTCGATGACACAAGGTCATGAGGTCATGCAGCTGAGGAATCTCCTTCTAAGATGCGGTAATATCAGCGTGCAAGGAGCGCTCATTTGAGAATTTCCCTCGTCTGGAACGATCACTGTCAGCCCGATAAGAAAGCTCTATTTTTATTCCCATCCAAAGGCGTGCTATTTCCACTCAGGCCTTGTCGGATCTCATTAGATCAATCCTGAGTTCTGCTCTCCAAGGAGCTTCGGAGTGCGATCGAAGCTCACGCATGCTGCCTCGGTCTCCTCTGCGACATCTACCCGATGGCGATAATGAGCTGCGTCATTCATGCGTCGATAGCAGTCGGATGTGACTTCGGCTCATTCTGGACTGTTCATGCATGATATAATTCCGTGGGCGAATATCGTGAACCAAAACATCCGAAAAGCAGACCATGTTCGAGGAAGGATGAAACTATTATCGATTCCCGCGCAGCCGTTCTATTCAGAGGAAAGGAGCAGGACAGGTACCGGAAATGACTTGTCGCGCAGACATGGTCACAATCTAAATCGTTCACCGAACCTTCTCTCCGGAATCGGACTGTTTACCGTATTTATCCGAGTCGTTTCCCGCTCGGAGGAGATTGTGAATTTTAATTGAGTTCGGCAAATGTTTACTCAGCCATCCTCTTCGGCGATTTCGAGAGCACTAGACGACGGGATCGAGTGGAAACGTTTCGAATCTTGCCCAGAGCGAGTGGTCCGGGTTTCTTTTGACAAGTGTCGAGCTGGGAGAACCACGTGTTTCGAGGGTTCTTTTCGAAGCGGAGGGAAGACGAGTGGAGCACGATAGCGCCGTCGGGCTCAGCGACGACCTTTGGATGAACTCACTGGAAAAGAAATTGGTGACCCCCTTCAGGGTCGCTGAATTCGCCGCAATTCTGTACAGTTCATCCCTGACGAGAATATCGAAGGCTCGAGCTGTATCGCCACGTTCAAGGCGGAGGGAGTCGGTCAACGAGCTACTGATTCTTCTGCGACCCATCCAGCGGACTCGAGGGAGGGAAATGTCTGAACTGCTCCAGAGCCTATCTGAATTCAGTCCTCCGGCGCACTGGATGTGCTCCCGCAGAGGTGGAGCGACCGATGCCGCGCAGCGTCGTTTGGCTCATCTTCGATGGTGACCTGCTCTGTAAATCATTCTGGCATGCGGACGCACTATCAACATGTCCCGATCACTGACTCTAAATTGAATCATCGTTATATTATACAAGCGATCGACCAAATAACCCGCATGGTCGGGGATCAGGTGTTCGGAATCCAGTGACTACAAAAAAATGATGCGCCGCCATTTGAAAGCATTCGCATGATTCCGTCTCAATGATAGTGGACAATGACGCGGGAGAATGAGTTGGTTCGGCCAACTAGCTAGCATTAACCCCGAAGCTCGCCCAATGAAATAGCGATCCGGCCCATCGTGGTCGTCGGCCGTTCACTGTCACCCGTTCCCGTCTGCAACGGCTCCCATTGAAGTTCTGTTCCTCGAGAATGCGGTGCGTAAGTGCAGCGTCAACGCGATGAGCGCTTTCGGGTGGGAGGTTCTCAGGTCGAACCGCACTTTTACAAACAAGGAGTTTTGTCAAACTGGAGGGACCGATCTCTGAGCGCATGTTCGGAAGGTCTGAGAATGTCTTGCCGCGAGCCTGGCGAAGATGTTTTACTCTGATGCGTCAAAAATTCAAAGTCCTACCGTTTCGAAATTCGGGGCTGTTCCCGAATCGAGGGACAAGTCCCCCGCAGGGTCCGGAGATTATCAGGTACTTTGGCGAGAAGAGTCGATCCCGCACACTGGAGCGTGGATCCGAGAAATGAATTCATCTATCCGTGGCAGGTACAGCTGTAGCGGAAGCCAAAACCATTTCTGACGGATACAGAGTGATAAGTGAGGGAAGTCCACCTGCGGATAAACAGGCGCCTTGAGAACAGACTCGTCCCCGCGGTACGGCGATACGGTGTGGAGTCGCGCATCCCTCTGTTGACAGAGTCGCCCTACAAATTGCCCCTTCGGCAGCGCGGTCAACGGAGCATGAATCGTCGCACGGGACCACGCGCCGATCCAGCTCAGGCTTGATTCATTATAACAACATATTGAATACCGAAGCCAACACAAATTGTGCTATATATCTGTGACCGAGGCAGAGAGTGCTCCCAGCGAAAATTCCGCATGCCGACATAGTTTTTCGGTGACAGCGACGCGTCAATGCCACTGGTCTTACGCAGGCTAACTCTGATGACGGAGGATTTCCGTTGTAGAGTGGTGAGCGTTAAGCGAAGCAGACCCTGTGGGCGTTCGAGCCGCATCTCCCAGTCGTAGCGCGGACGGATTTTCAAATAGTGTGGAAGTGAGGTGATGCCGTGATGTGAGCTTTCCGTGCCCAGCCAATACGATGTGGACGTCGGTTCCGTCATCGATCTGTGGGCTCTTGAACTGGAAATGTCCTCGGATACTTCACGCGGAGCTTATTCTGTCAATCATCATAGGTCAGGGAGCATCTATTCTGTGCCTGGCACAGACCCTCAGAGCAGGTTCTCCGATCTTCGTGGTCGACCAGGGGTCTGGGTTCGGGGGGCTATGCAGTAATTAGGGCGAGAACTAGAGTTCGCCTCCTGCGCAGTGTCACTGTCATGAGGGGTTGGCTTGATCGTGGCTTCTGGGCGAGGTATTCATTTATCGTGATAAGTCTGCTAGTCTGATTAATCGCGAACGATACTGAACGAAAGCGAACTCCGCAGGACTGCTCTGGCTGGAAAAAAGTTCGGCTCGCATCGCTTACCTCACAGTGCCCAGAACGGTCAATGTGGATCAAACCGATGAAGCGATTCTCGACTGCCAGTACGACTTCAGTCGGAAGGTGAGTTAGAGCAGAAAGCGGTCGGAAGTCGAACAGAAAAAATAAATTCGATCGCAGCCCCGTACGAGAGAATGTGTTCGGTTCTCGCGTCCGATGAAGACTCTCTCGTGAGTCGGAGGGGAACCGGATCCAGCGCATTTTACGGCATTGAACGCCTTTGAGAAAAATAGCGCAGACGAGCAAAATTGAAACCATGCAGGAGCAGAGGGTCGTGTTCCGTGAGCCGGCAGACTCTGCCGGAATTCATCCGGCTGGCAGACTTAATTAGATTATGATCCAGCCTTCGAGGAGGGAACCGCTACCAGAGACCTTGAAGGGCAGACGTCAGACGACCGCGGCCGTTCTAAGATCCTCCTTTCCTTTCATGCTCTGTGATTGCAGCTTAACGACTTTATCATCGTCAAATGGTTCTTCAACAACGAGCACCTACCCATATATTCGTGGTTACCTAATAGTCAGACGAGGATTTTTGATCCACATTTTGAGAATTTCATCGATAAATCTTACCGGTTCTCGGCGGACAGGTGAGGGCGCCGCGAGGGGTTCGAGTATCTAGGTAATTTCGTTCCAGAATATAAATGGGTCTCCTTTAGTTCGGATGTGCGGCTTTTCGACCGAACCGAGGATGGAGCGAATAAATAATATCGGTCCGATCGATAAATAATAATCGACGTCGTTCCGGCTGGCCAGTAGCACAGCCGAAGCCGGAGTCGGATCCGAATGACACCTAATGACAACAATTACCTAACTTATGATTCACGATATCGACAGGTACCAAATCTACCGAGGAATACGGTTCTCGCATCTCCATCCCAACCTCACAGGATTCTACTACTGTACAGTTTCAACTAAAGAAGGGTATTTCGAGGAACGAAAGCCGATGACACTTTATCGTGAGTATTCCCCTCTCGGATTGCTTATCTCTCCCGAGCATGGTCCTGTTGTCGAAGATGCCGGACCTCACCAGCTCGAAGGAGCGAGATTTGATCCCGTGGTGGACCGGTGATTAAGGGAGAAGAGCATTTTGGAGCATCAATCGCTTCCGACGTCGACGTTCCTCGAGTAATGTCAGCCGGGCTGATCGATTCCATAATTGCAGGTACACCTCATTTCGAAAGGTTCGAAGTCCAGGCCAACCCTCATCACTTCAACCTATCTTGTGATGTCGATGGGATCATGCGACCGGGCGAACTTCGGATATATCGAATCGACGACACGCATTTCGAGTCTTTGGACACCGACACAACCTTGACACCGCGAAACGATCGGTTCCAGACCGTTAGAGCGCAAGTGCGCGCGAATTATAGTGTTCCCAACTCGAGGAGCGCTCGTTCTTTCCAATTCCAATGTACGGTCGTCTATCCAAACACCGACATCAACATCACAAGGAGTCATCTCATGACCACGAGAAACTCGAGTAGCAGCATATATGGTCCTCCGGGATCATTCGTTACCAGCGTTGGCTACGTTCTCCTTGGACTACTCTGCGTCTTTCGATATCGCGATTGATCGGAATTTTTTGTCGATATAAACTACTCGGGTTAAATAAATCAAGTTCATCAGTTCCTGACGTCGTCGTATCGGGATTGAGCTCTACCAACGGACGGTGGGCCTGGGTGTGGAGAGGGAGAAGGGTGGGAAACGTTCCAAGGATTGCTTCAGAGATGCATGCGCGAGTTCCCCTGTCGTACTGGCGGAAATTCTCATGAATCGCAAGCGCGGCCTCGCTCGTGAAAATTCTGACAATCAAACGGTCTCTCCAGAGCAACTCGGGATTCCGCCGACGCGTTTTCGGCCCCTAATTGAGGTAGGTGGTCCCTGAGCGAGGCTTTCCCCTCCCCTCGCCTCCTCCCGTTTGACTTCGACCGGGAGAGCCCCTCGAAAGTTCCGTGACGTGTGATGTGATTCCGACTTGAAAGCTAATGCTCCGCTTTAGTGATCCCCTCGGATGCTGACTATTCGAAGTAGTTTCAGTTATGACGAGCGGGAAATACTTCCCATCAGCCCTCTGACCTCAAACCGACGACAGGGCCGAGATCATTGACGAGCCCGTGTTGGACAAGCCGAATACTTTTCGGATGGTCCGCTCTACAGAGCCGGCAATCAAAGCACCGACTCCCGACACAATACAGCGTCAGTTAGTTCATGCGAACCCACACGTGATGTGTCGACCGCTCCCACAATTAGCATATCTGTCGATCGGAGCGGTTTCCCGAATCGCTGAGTCTCCCAGCTGATGGTCTTCATCTACAAGTTCGCGACCTTTTTTTCATCGGTCGGGAGTCAGGTACGACGATGGGTGATCATTCCGGACGCTATCCCCGGGGAAGCATCAACGGGTGTGAACGACTCAAAAAGCCTGTATGGAGTGGATGGATTGAGTCAGTGGGGATGGCCTGCCTTGGGTGTTCACCCGGGGGGAAACGGACAAGATTGCCAAGCTCGGACACACGAAGAATCTCATCGAGTTCGGAACGAGAGTAGCAAGAAGGACCCGTCGTCCGGCACAGCGACTCCAGAAGTGTCACTGTCGTCGGCTGAGATCCAAAAGGGAATGCTGTCCGTGCAACGGTTCTCTTACGGAGCATTCCTCTCAGGACCTTGTACCCCTGTCGCCTCCCAATGAGCCACGAGATCTCAGTCGTCCCTTCGGATCGAGTATGACCAGAGCGGTCTCAGCCGAACTTCGGTGACGGAGCGATCGATCCGCGTTGTCTCGACTGAGCGCGGTGGCGATTCTCGACGGCCGATTGTGAATTATATAGGAACCAGCCGCGAGGGCGCTTCGCGCCCTCACGGCTGATCGCATGCCGACCGCGATGCTTTTAAAGCTTGAGCTGTTCACATGGAGCTCACCAATGTCGGGAGTCAATTCAGTTCAGTAGCGCTTCATTTAAAAAGGTTAAGTCAGATTCGTAATGGGTAATCGCGATATGAAATCAATTGAAGACCCTGGACAGTGTCGAGTCGGAGTTGATGTTGATTTTGCCTGATGAAGTTCAAGCGATTCATCTCAATCTTCAACCAACTATCGACTATGAACTGCTGCAAGAGTTTTCCAGCATAGTGCAACGGATTGAATTGGCGGTCCCGAGTGAAGAGAACGAATGAGTAATACTGTTTTTGGGTAACTCGGGCTCGTCTCGGCGACGCGTACTCTGTGCGTTCCATTTCTGGATGCCAACCGTGTCCACCGGAAGGGAAGAGCAACGGATATGTAAGCGGATCGCACAGCTTATCAAGGTGGCTGATGAATTTAAGGTTACCGGTTTGCTCATGAATTACCAAAAAACGGTCTCCCGGAATCGATTCCTCATCCCCAACGTAAACAATGGCAACTTCATTGGCGGTCGCGAAATTATAGCGACGATGATCGTCAGTGTTGTTCTGCTCAAACACCATCCGCACCGGCCTAGAGGTTCGACCCTGTTCTTGAGCGTTCCGCGATTCTTCATCGGCGACCTGAGCCATGAGTCGGAACGCTCGTACGTATGGGTTGGAGTCGTTTAACATATTATGGAGAGTTCTGAAAGTACTCTCAACACAATTTCGGTTGACATCGCGTCCGGACAGTTCTTGAGCCGCCTCGTTCGTGTCCATAATCAAGACCTGAGCGCATTGAGGAGGATCGCCGTCTCGTGGTTGCAGACCTCCGATAGTATGATATACCTGGCCATGCACCCGAAAGCGAATAGGGGCCGAATCCTTGCGGGGTCACTATGTCTGCGGTCATAGAAGCCACAGCTAGAGTCATTATTATAATTTCTGATGAATTTTCGGAAGCTTTTCGAATCATCATCCTGGTTCAAATACAGAGAACGCAATGTCTCGGGGAAGGGTTCGAACAGCGGGAGTTCAACCGTATTCTTCGCGCAGCACATCATGTACGGCGACTGTCCAGAAGTTGTTTTCTCGTCTCTGAAGTGCGCAGCTCCGCATCCGCTGCAAGAGTCATCCATGTTTCCTAGATGATGAGCGCTCGAGGGACGCCTCTGATAATCGCGAGCTATGCCTACTGAAGTACGGAGATTGTGACCGGGCTTTAAAGCCCGGACCCCACTGCGATACGCTGCGTGTTCGGCACTCCTCAAGTCAAGTTCTGACTGCGTCATGTTGGAACGCGTTGCGGATTGTCGCGTAGCATCTCGATCGCGTGAGTCTTCTATCTGTGGTAGAGACTCCTGCGATCGGAGTCTACGGTCCTCCGAGCTCCGTGTGTGTGTGTGCGTGTCGCGCGGAATCAGCGGCACGCACGTTTTCCGCTCGAACTTGACAACGATCAGCCCGGAGTCGCCGTTGTTGGACCAAATTCAATGGCCGCGAGTGGGCGACTTCTGCCTGAGTTCTGACTGAGTTCTGCCGACGCATCCGCTCCGCCGCTTGTTCACGTCGAGAACGCTGACCTCGTCGGGAACGCCGGAATCTCGGCATGAGTTAATGAAAAATGATAGAATAGCGTAAATTTGAGAAGCCCGCCTTGGGGCTCGAGTGCGGCGGTTCTCCGCCATCTTGAATGACGTCATGTGACAGCCACAACGCATACGGAGGAAAAACTTGGAGTTTTGTGCGTTTTTCCGAGGAACGGCCCGCAGGAATGGTGGGAAATTCACATGAGCAAAGGACGAAGGAGTTCCGTATCGATTGCGCGCATAATCAGACGGGAATCATGGCGCGAAGCAGTAGATAAGGTGCGAACTGACAGACAGGCAGACATTGCGCTTTTATTATAGGGGGGGATAATACATATTGACGACAAGGAGGCCCATGTGAGAAAATTGATTAATATCGAGCGACAAGACACGGAGCTAGCGATGCCGTCGACAAGGGAGCGGGGTTTCGGTATCTCCTCCCGAAGAGGGCAATATCAGTCCGCAGCCTCTTCACTCGTCGTCTCACGTCGGTCGGTAGCTCAATCTGACGTCGCCTATAGAAGCAGGCGCCGGCCCGTTCCGGGGAGCGAAGAGCTGACTAGCTCATGGACGGTCGAATAGAAGGCCAGTTTTGAAGCCTTCTGGGGGAGATGAAAGATTATCATAAGAATGATTCGAGCTGTCGTCTGAGAATCACAAGTGTGAGCTCAGGCACACTTGGCTGAGCACTTCCAACAGGAGTAACGACTGATATTCAGCCTCCGGAAACGGAAACCCATGTGATTCGGTCCTGGAAGTCCCTCGCGACTCGCGAGATTTTCTCGAGCCTCGGCGATGCTGCCACGAGACGATTCTGGCGATGCTTGTCGGGGAGCAGACGTAGAAGCAATTCGTTCCACGGTATCACCGATTGCCAAACTTCAAAAGAGCCTAGTTACGAAGCCTTGAGCCGGCTTTGGCCCTAAAGCCCCTCAAAGACGACTGCTGAACATACTGTAGTGCCCGACAGACTCAAAGTTTTCACTCAGAGAAGTTATTTCCAGGCGCTATTTCAATGCGGAATCACAGGAGATTCGCTCGGGAATCGTTCAATATGCACGCTCGAGCTGACTACGGGCCGCTTGAGAGACAGGACGAACTCAATCTCAGGGAACTTCCGCTGTCAGTGGACATACCGCAGTGACGACTCCGCGAGCGGAACTCAACACCGCCAGGTCTCGCCATCCCCTGATGTTCCCGACGGCAACCGAGAATATTCTACCACAGAATCCGCGCAATCCAAATAGGTGCGTTCCGGAGTCGAAGCCTCGATTTCCCTGACGTACCACGCTGAGATGAACGTGGAACATTGGCAACGACGAATCGCGATATCACCTGCTCGAGGGAGAAGAATCAATGAAAGACATATTCGGGGATCTGACCCGTGCTCGACAGGGCTGACAACTCGTTCGGGTTTTTGCGCCGATGTTCCCAATGGTGCGTTTTGGAGGGTCATCGAGGGCTTGTCAGCACCGATGACACATTGTGCCCTCGTGTCGTCCTCCCACGGCGTATGGAGCGGCAACGCATAAGCCCGCTGAGGAATCTCTCCCCGCAACTTACATGGCCCGTCGTTAATTAGAGTCGCCCGGAGTCCTTTGATGAGGTTTACGGCGCCGTAAGAGGCTGGAGAAATGCGTCCGCTACCGGAGCTTGCATTTAATTGGTCGCGGCACAAAGCGGTACATGCAGATACTAACAAGCAGCACGCCACTCTCGTTCGGAGAGATACCACAGCGAAAGAAATGAGGATCGTTCCCTTTTCACCAGCGCCGATGAAAGAATTCCGAGCGTCGGGGCTCCTTCTTAGAGCTAGAAAGTTTTTATTCTTTCCGTACACAGTCGCTCGTTCCCACCGAATGCTGCTGCCACCGAGACGGGCAAATTATTCTGAAGCGGCATTAAAATGTTGGAAGCCTGCCAAGAGTTCAAAACCCTGGGGCAGAAACGCTGCCCGAACATTCCACAATTTCCCCGACCTTCATCCTCGGTGAGCCCGAGCAATCGCGCTAATCTACTGCGGATTCGTCACTTCGCACATCTAATGTCCCGCCTGAGTTTTGCTCATGACTGCGTTCGTACGGATCACGTCGTCGACTG